CACACACACACACACACACACACACACACACACACACCCTAGATCTATGGAGCTGGTTTCTCTCTTGTTGCTGTAATATTTTTGGCAACACTCAGTCCCTTTAAAATTTTCTACTTTACAGAAAAAAGAACCCAATGAACACAAAACCTAATTACTTGCATCCTCTCGTGTTCATTTCTAATCCTTGCCAGTATTTAGGTATGTTGTCATCAGTGTGAATCTACTACTTTGTGTTCTAATTTTTCACCACATTTTCGTCTTCATGTTGCCACATGTGGATAGTTAAGTTCTAGTCCCTGAAAGCCCCAAGTAGGTAGGAGACATACTCAGCCATTTTTATTAGTTACCAATTTCTAGCCATCCTCCAACTGTTGGCTCTGAAGGGGTAATATCAGATCTTTTCAGTTGTGAATAGTGATACCAGGCATCTAGAAAGGTAGAAAGTGACCTGAGCTAAGCAGAAATGTGTTTCAAGTCCCAGACCATTTCAAGAGCTTGAAAAGTTCAGGCCCAGATGAAATGAAGTTAGATGGAAGGTCTTGGCTCCATACTACTTTATAACAGGTCATAGGTTTAAAGTCCAAAAGGGCTCAGATTTCTACCCCATGTTTGACGTGTGAGGCCTCGATCTGGATTGCCGAGCTGACTTCTCTGCACCTCGGCCCCCGGCAGGGATATGGCGGTGCCGAGTCCCCGGCCAGCCCTCTCCACCGAGGCGCTTAGGGACAGAGACACCAGTCATGCTGGCATCTCTACCCTGCATGCTCTTCTCCCTGGCTCTTCCGGCCTAGGGGAGAAGTGATCCCACCTGCCCACTGCTGCGAAGTAACAGGTGGACTCACCTTAGGAGAGGCAGGCAGAATAAATAGTGAGCAGTGGCGCCGCTTCAAGCCTGTCGGACTTGTAGAGGCACAACGTGAACAGCGGAGCACTGATGGACTGGACACAGCCAGAAGCAGCTGGCATCTCTAAGAGCTGGATTGCAGGAAGAGTGAACAAGCCCAGAGCTAAGGAGCTAGTGGTGCCTCCCACAGGGTGGCCTTTTCACCTCGTGCCTTTGCTCTTTTCCTTTCAAAGTCATACTTACAATTTATATAAAACATATGGCATGTTCAGCTTAAAAGACGGAGAGGATTGTCCTAACCTATTTGCAGGCAAAAACCGCTTCTTTCTTTGTTATTCTTTTCCCAGCGCAGCGTCCAGGACAAGGTAAGTGCTCTGCGAAGCTTTGTTGAAGCAAGCCCTCTTCTTACACTCTTCCGAGTTACTGGTAAACCCCAGGATGCAATTCCAGCCCCTCAGAGTGATGTCAGTACTTTGTTCTTAAATAGAGCCTGTGCAAGACCTTGGTGACTTGCTGTCTATTTTGTTTGTTGTTTTGGTTTTTCCTTCCCAAATTACTTGATTGTGCTTTGATACCTCATGTAGGTTGAAAACTGTAGTTGATTTTATTGACTATCATACAGCAGACAGAACGTTTCATGCTTGACAGAGGCATTTGTAATCCCACTGATTAATGTGGTTTAAGATGTTTGTTGATGTTAATACCAAAGATGAGTAAAATGCATAATTCCATGCTGTCTGTGCCTTTCCAACAGAGCTCTCAATCCCATTGGTATAAAGCTCTGAGGAGACCCACGCATCTGAGCACTGAGGATTCGGTTCGGGTCCTTGGCAGATGGGTGTCAGTATCATCTCCTAGCCAGCAGGATGGATACCACGCCCTTAAATTCCCAGAAGGAGCTGTCAGCCTGTAAGGATAAAGACGATTGTCAGGAAAATGGAGTTCTACAGAAGGGTGTGCCTGTCCCCGAGGATAAGGTGGAGTCTGGCCAAATCTCCAATGGGTACTCAGCAGTTCCAAGCCCTGGTGCAGAAGATGACACTCAGCACTCCATTCCGGCTGCCACCACCTCCCTAGTGGCTGAGGCTCATCGAGGGGAACGGGAGACCTGGGGCAAGAAGATGGATTTCCTCCTCTCGGTCATTGGCTATGCCGTGGACCTGGGCAACGTCTGGCGCTTTCCTTACATATGTTACCAGAATGGAGGGGGTCAGTATCATGGGCTACGAGCAGAGGCTGTGTCCGAGGGATGGTCTGTAAATCCTCTTGGGAGGCCAGAACAGAAATCATGTCTTTTCTGTCTTAACTGAGGAATCTGGGAACATGATTGCTCAGACTTTCAAGCTAGTCCAAAAGACAAGTCCCCAGGAAGCCAAAATGCTAAGTCAGCATGTCTGGGGCTCTCTGGGTTATGAAGTTGGGTAAAAGCTCTCCCAAACGCAACCTCGCCAGGCTTTCAGCCTCCTTAGTGCGTCGTTTGTGGCAGAGCTCCCTTCTCAACCCTGCATCATCCAAGCTGCACTCTTGCAGTGAGTCCAGAGAGGTTACATCTGTGTAAGGAAACGTTGGGAAGTGGCTCCAGGGTCCCAGGCCCTCCCGGGTCAGAGAAGGGTGTCAGCCCAGGTCCAGAGTCTGGAGTTAGAATCTGAGCATGATCTAGAGGTGAACCCAGCCACAGCATGGCATTGCTGCTAACCTAAACCATACATGGATATGTCCTCATTTTTGTGCTACATTTTTGAGGCTAGAGACTACTTCTTATTCCTCCTTCTACCTTCAGAGCAGTTAACTTGTAGATTATCAAAACCAGTAGCTGACTGGAGGCATGGATGTGGGAGCCCCAAAGAGGAGAGTGGAGAAGAGTGAGATGGTATGGGGCCTCTGTGTTGACAATGGACTTGCTATCAAAGCGGGAAAGGGACGAGAAATGGAGGTCAAATCAGTCAATATTTATTTTGACAGAAGCTCTGGACACTGATTTGGTACGGCAGCTAAAACGAGGTTTGGGGGAGAATTCATTAGTGTCCTTCCTCATTTCCTCGATGGCCGGACGCAGAGTGGCCAGGATTTGCCACATTTTTTAAGGACCTTGGTCCTTGCAGCTGCAAAGGCAGTTCAGGGGTGAGGGGTGGGGTGGGGGCTGGGGAAGCCCAGCACCCCCTGCCTGGGAGGAGCAGAAGTTGGAGTCACCTTATCTCCAGCCTGCAAGGGCTCACCTTTAGCCTGAGCTTTATATAAGGGGTTGGGTCACTGGTGACGTTTCTTCTACACCAATTCCCCACTATAAAGCTGGACAGATGCCATCCTGAGAACACAACGTGCTTCTTATTCTCAAGCCAGATTTACCCAGCATGATTCCAAGTCAGGTGGGACCTTTGTGAGTTGCACTGACTTCAGGTTTCTGAGTTCAGAGCACTTTACGGGAGAGAACATTATCAGGGAAAATCACCGCTGACCCACCCTGTGGGCTAAAACTCAGGCTGCAGGTGAGCAGTCGCCACCTAGGTTTTCCACATGCTGCCTCAGCCATGAGAACCAAGACACACCAGCACCTCCCGTGACACAACAACCCCACACTTCCTCATTCTGTGACGAACTACCCTTTTCAGCCACATCTGCAAAGGTGGCCCGGAGGGGAGCATTCCGGCGCAGCAGAATTATGGAAATACAACCAAATATCAATAGCAAGTATCTGGAGCCAGGGATAGTACGTACGGATGAACAAAAATACTAATTTGGTGATTGTTGCCACTGTTGTACGGGTTGTCATGGGGGATCTGTCCCAAGGGTCTCAAACTCCGCTCTGTGTACCAGCTGCATCAGAATTACTTGAGTAGCTTAAGAGTTTTTGTCTTACACCATATCTGGAATTTCTGCTTCAGGGGGATGGTGGGTGTGTGTTCTTTTTTTAAAAAATTTTTTTTTCAACGTTTATTTATTTTTTGGGACAGAGAGAGACAGAGCATGAATGGGGGAAGGGGAAAGAGAGAGGGAGACACAGAATCGGAAACAGGCTCCAGGCTCCGAGCCATCAGCCCAGAGCCTGACGTGGGGCTCGAACTCACGGACCGTGAGATCGTGACCTGGCTGAAGTCGGACGCTTAACCGACTGCGCCACCCAGGCACCCCGGTGGGTGTGTGTTCTTAAGCTCACCAGTGATTATTACATGTGGCTGGGTTGGGGAAGCTCAGCCCACCTGAACCCTGTCATTTAAAAAAAATTTTTTTTTAATGTTTTTATTTATTTTTGAGAAAGAGAGACACACACACAGAGAGTGTGAATGGAGGTGGGGCAGAGAGAGGGAGACACAGAATCCGAAGCAGGCTTCAGGCTCTGAGCTGTCAGCACAGAGCCTGATGCTGGGCTCGAACTCACAAACTGTGAGATCATGACCTGAGCTGAAATCGGACGCTCAACTGACTGAGCCACCCAGGCACCCCTCGACTCTGTCATTTTTATAGGGGAGGGAAAATAGAGGTTCAGAGGGGAGAGGTGGCTCAGGGTCCTCCCGGTGGTTAGAAGTGGGACTGATTCTGGGACCTGGTCTGTTGAGTCCCAAGTCCAGCTTCCTTTCCACGCACTCTCTGCCTCCTTCATGCACTCCCTGAAACCCCCGTTCACTGTGGTGCTCTGGTAGAGCACTAAGAGCAGGGGGGCACAACGTGAGGTCCCTCGGCACACCGTGGCTTCATGACACTCAAGCCTCAGGTGGCCCTGTAAATCTTGGTGTGAGCCCAGTCAGTCGGGCTGTCCTGGGAGGGATGTGGGCAGGGAATAAAATTGTCTTTCATCTGTCGCAGGAGCGTTCCTCCTACCCTACACCATCATGGCTGTTTTTGGGGGGATCCCGCTCTTCTACATGGAGCTCGCACTAGGCCAATACCACCGAAATGGATGCATTTCGATATGGAGGAAAATCTGCCCAATTTTCAAAGGTAACTGGAAGGCTTAAGTGGGTGGGTGGATGAGTGGTCCTGCAGGGCAGAGGTGATTTCTGTCCACATATGGAAGCTAGGGACCCTCTTCTGGAATCAATTAGGCCTTCAGGTATCTGGGAGATAAGTTGAGTAATGAAGTTTTTGACTATTTAAGTGGTATGAGATTGTTAAAGGGAAGCAATAAATGGCAATTAAAAGTATACCAGGAGGGATCACCTGGGTGACTCAGTCAGTTAAGTGACTCTTGGTTTCGGCTCAGGTTGTGATCTCATGGTTCGTGAGTTTGAGTCCCACATGGGGCTCTCTGTGTGGAACCTGGTTGGGATTCTCTCTCTTACCCTCTCTCTCTGCCCCTCCCCTGCTCACGTGCACTCTCTCTCTCTCAAAATAAATAAACTTTCAAAAATGTTATATAAAAAAAGTAAACCTGGGTGTCTTGTGGAGCATGTGGCACTTGATCTCGGGGTCATGAGTTCCGGCCCCACATTGGTTGTAGAGATTACTAAAAAAAATAAACTTAAAAAAATAATAAAAGTAAAGTAAACATTTTACTTATCAATAAATAAAAGTAAACTTATAAATAAACAAAAGTAAACCTAACAGACCTGTAAGTAAAGAGAATAAACTGATGGTTGCCAGAAGGAAAGGGGGTGGGGGGATGGGCCAAATGGGTGAAGGGGAGTGGGAGATACAGGCTTCCAGTTATGGAAAGAGTAAGTCACAGGGATAAAAGGCACAGCATAGGGAGTACAGGCAACGGTGCTGTAATCGCATCGTGTGGTGACAGGCGGCAGCTACACTTGTGCTGGGCACAGTATAACATACAGACTTGTCCAGTCATTCTGTTGTACATCTGAAACTAATGTAACATTGTGTGTCAACTACACTGAAATAAAAATATTTTTTCAGGCAAACGAAATAGAAAAAAAAGTTTAAAGCATTAACAGCACACGCACCTAGTTTCTAAAATGTGTAGGGGCGCCTGGGTGGCGCAGTCGGTTAAGCGTCCGACTTCAGCCAGGTCACGATCTCGAGGTCCGTGAGTTCGAGCCCCGCGTTGGGCTCTGGGCTGATGGCTCAGAGCCTGGAGCCTGTTTCCGATTCTGTGTCTCCCTCTCTCTCTGCCCCTCCCCCGTTCATGCTCTGTCTCTCTCTGTCCCAAAAATAAATAAACGTTGAAAAAAAAAAAATAAAAATGTGTAATCTTGCAAAAAACATCTAAGGAATTTACCACATTGCCACCTTTCCTTTCCGCCGCCTCCCAGAGTCTTGGGGAATGAAGTGAATGGCAGCTCCACCTTTCTCCCTCACCTGAGCTGCAGGGCCCTCCGGCGACCCGGGGCCATCTTTCACTGTTGGGCTGTCCTTGAGACTTGGCCTCCCTTCCCGTCTCTCCCAGGGATCGGGTATGCCATCTGCATCATTGCCTTCTACATCGCTTCCTACTACAACACCATCATGGCCTGGGCGCTCTACTACCTCATCTCCTCCTTCACGGACCAGCTGCCCTGGACCAGCTGCAAGAACTCCTGGAACACTGGCAACTGCACCAACTACTTCTCCGAGGACAATGTCACCTGGACGCTCCACTCAACATCCCCTGCAGAAGAATTTTACACGTAAGTGCATGTAAGTGAGGGGGTGGTCTGTTAGAAGCAGGCCACACCCCTGGGGGTTGGCCTCTTAGGAGGGAGGCAGGGGCCAGGGCCGCTTCACCTCTTTCCTGACAGATTTCTGAGGGATGAAGCTCTTAGGGCGGGGTGAGTAAATGTAAGTGAGAGAGTGGCAGGGTGGCCGCGGGCAGGTTTGGAGCTGGGAGACTCTGCTTTGAGTGCTCCCTAATCTGGCCCTTTGTGATATCCCCCTCCTTTCTTTTTTCTTTTTTCTTTTTTTAAATGCCTTTTTAAATGTTTATTGATTTTTAAATGTTTATTTTGAAAGAGAGAGGGGGAGAGAGAGAGCAGGGGAGGGGCAGAGAGAGAGGGAGACAGAGAATCCCAAGCAGGCTCCATGCTATCAGCACAGAGTCTGACTCGGGGCTTGAACCAATGAGCCATGAGATCATGACCTGAGAGGAAACCAAGAGTTGGACACAAAACAGACTGAGCTACCCAGGCACCCCTATTTATTTATTTTGAGAGAGAGAGAGAGAGAGAGAGAGAGAGAGAAAGTGAGCACAGGGGAGGGGCAGAGGGAGAGAGAGAGAATGCACACTCAGCACAGAGCCCGATGTGGGCTCCACTGTAAGATCATGACCTGAGCCAAAACCAAGAGTCAGACATATAACAGACTGAGCCACCCAAGCAACCCTGCCCCCTCCTTCCTGATGTGCCAGGCCAGGCGGTCCCAATGTGCCCAGGGTGATTCCTTCATTCACATTACAAACTTACTCGCCTGTGTCAAAACCACCCTTCCTCCTGGGCCCTGCTCTCATTCTGTTGTCATGGAATCCGAGCCTCCCGTTGCTTCAATAGTTTAAAACCATCCAGGGTTTCTGGTTTCATGTGTTCACTTCACAAGTGGAATCTATCCTTTGGAAGAAGATGCCTGGGGTGGGTAGTATTCTTTAATGCTGGAATTTCAGGCAGCTGCGGCCCAGGAGAGAGTAATTTTGGGGTGGAGCAGATGCTACCCACACATACAGATGCTGCCCCAGCCTGGAAGTCTGCCTTGGGAGCTGCGTGCTCTTCTAGGGTCTGTGGGCTGAATGTACTGCCCTGTCCGTCAGGACCCGCAGACCCAGCGCTTCCTGAGGCCTAGCGCCTGCTTGGACCTTGCAGCGCGGTGTCTGTTTCTTCTCTGGACCCCCCTGGAGGTGTCGCAGGTGGTATCCTCAGCTTACTGCTCAGGCCTTTTCATGGGCCTTTCTTTCTTGCTGTCTCCAGGCGCCACATCCTGCAGATCCATCGGTCTAAGGGACTTCAGGACTTGGGGGGCATCAGCTGGCAGCTTGCTCTCTGCATCATGCTGATCTTCACTGTGATCTACTTCAGCATCTGGAAAGGTGTCAAAACATCTGGCAAGGTGAGGAGGACTCTGGCTGCTGACCCAGGCCTGCCCAGGGGCTCCAGAGGATTCAAACTCAGAACTCAGTAGCCTGGACAGCTATAGACAGAAGGACAATGTTTCCTTCAACACCAAACACAATTTATGAGGCTCAGTTTCTCTTTACCAGATATGTGTTAAAAAAATTTCCATGGGGCGCCTGGGTGGCGCAGTCGGTTAAGCGTCCGACTTCAGCCAGGTCACGATCTCGCGGTCCGTGGGTTCGAGCCCCGCGTCAGGCTCTGGGCTGATGGCTCAGAGCCTGGAGCCTGTTTCCGATTCTGTGTCTCCCTCTCTCTCTGCCCCTCCCCTGTTCATGCTCTGTCTCTCTCTGTCCCAAAAATAAATAAAAAAACGTTGAAAAAAAAAATTAAAAAAAAAAATTTCCATAAACGGGCCAATCCCAGGAACCATTATGTGATTTTTAAAAAATTCCTTTAACCCACTGGTAGTGTCACAATTATTAATAGTGACAATAATTTATTGAAAACCCATGATGAGCCATGATCAGTGCTTTATGTACACTGGCTACTTTATCATCTTTTGCTAGGTGTTTTCCCATATGACGGCTGGGAAGTGGGTTTGTGGTAGTATTGGCAAGCTGTGAGTCAGATCCCTGACCGATTCTAAAGCCGCTGATATTTCTGCAACGCCACCCTGCCTTCTATAGTTACAGAAAAGAAGAGGTACATCTCCTTCCTTGGAGATTTTCGAGAATAAAAGATACAAACATCCACATGCTGACAACCTGTGTTTCTACCCCTTTCTTTACAGGTAGTGTGGGTGACAGCCACCTTCCCTTACATCATCCTTTCAGTCCTGCTGGTAAGAGGCGCCACCCTCCCCGGAGCCTGGAGGGGTATTCTCTTCTACTTGAAACCCAACTGGCAGAAACTCCTGGAGACAGGGGTAAGATCATGAGGAAAACGATGTGCCCCTGTCTGTCATTTTACTAACTGAAGCTAGTCCCCCCGAGTAGGGACAACTATTGAAATTTGGGTTCAATGGCAAGTCTGCAGTCGTGCTTTAAGTCAGAAATAGAAGCATGAAAAGTAGAGTTGAGACCAGTAGATTGGTTTGTGCTTCAATGTTAGGAGGAGAAACCACATTTGTTGGCACTTGGTATGTGGTCATCCCTGGCATGAGCTTTGAGAGGTGGGTTTTCACTTTGCACGTAGCCACCTGGAAGCCAGAGTGCAGGCCCGGGGCCCAGTCCTCACCCCCACCTCTGCTGCCTTCCAGGTGTGGGTGGATGCTGCCGCACAGATCTTCTTTTCTCTTGGTCCTGGCTTTGGGGTCTTACTGGCTTTCGCTAGCTACAACAAATTCAACAACAACTGTTACCAGTGAGTATCTGCCCCCCACCCCAAGTAAAGCCTGAAAGTGGGGTGAGCATAAGTCAGCTGGCCAGGAGGAAGGGGATCGAACTAATGGCCTCAAGCCTGGCTGGGCTCAGGTGTGTCACAGATCCCTGACCAGTTCCCTCGTGGCCAGAGCACCCCCTGGGGTCGAAGCCTCACCCAGACCATTCAGAGATTGAGAGGAGCCCCAGGCCGCTTCCGTTTTTTAAGTCTCTGTATATCAAAAAAAAAATAAAGAAATGCCAAAGCAGGTTTACAAAAATTGCAACATATATTAAATATTTAGATTTCACTTATTGATGTGTTGAACAACAGTTGTAATGTGATAATTTCCTTATGTACATATGCACAAAAGTATGATGATTGGACTATTTTGACCAATACAAAAATGCCATAATTTTGGGGGCAAAATCAGAAATTTGGACAAAACAGTGAGTGTTGTACCAATTATGATTTCGGTATCACTCATCATCTTTTTATTTATTTTTTAATGTTTATTTACTTTTTTTGAGAGAGAGAGAGAGAGATGAGCAGGGGAGTAGAGTGAGAGGGAGAGAGAATCCCAAGCAGGCTCCATGCTGTCAGTGCAGAGCCCGACACAGGGCTCCATCCCACAAACTGTGAGATCATGACCTGAGCCAAAAACCAAGAGTCAGATGCTCAACTGACTGAGCCACCCAGGCGCCCCCACTCATCATCTTTAGAGTTAAATTTTTTTTTTAATGTTCCACCACAGATGGCAGGGTCCAGCACTCTAATTGTGCTTGTTCATAAGATAATTAATGAATTCTTTTATTCTTAAAAAGGAATTCACAAGTACCCTAAGCAATGTGGCATTGCATCGGGACCCCTGCCTGAAGTTGTATGATGAGGTGTTCTTTTAAAAGTGTCAAGATATTGGGGCACCTCAGTGGCATCTGACTTTGGCTCATGGTTTGTGAGTTTGAGCCCCAAGTCGGGCCCCAGCTCAGAGTCTGGAGCCTGTTCCGGATTCTGTGTCTCCGTCTCTCTCTGCCCCTCCCCCACTTGGGCTCTATGTCTCTCAAAAGTAAGTAAGTGTTAAAAAATTTTTTTTAATTTAAAAGTGTCAGGATATCTCTGTGACACTCTTGTAACCTCATTTGCACATAATTTCAAAAGTCTGAATCTGAGGGCTTCGCAAATGTGAGGCCAAGACCCCCTCCTGGCCCCCACTCCAATCCAGGCCCTGTTTCCGAGCAATTCTTGCTTGAAATCAAAAGGTCTGTGTTATTCCCGTTCACAACAGCACCATCTCTTCAAACCAGTCCTGACCTGCTGCTCTACCACGCCGTGCATGGTGGTAATGGCAGCTTGTGCTTCGAGCCACCTTCCCGTCTGAGAGGCTGGGCCTGGGAGGAGCGGAGGGGACACCAGGATTGGCCTGAGGTCCCTGTGAACTCAGCCTGCTCGTCCTTGCCTTGGCTGGTGACAGATGCTCTTTAGACTCTCTGCTTGGTGAACTGAGGTTCATTTGGGTTTTCTGCTCCAGAGACGCCCTGGTGACCAGTGGGGTGAACTGCATGACGAGCTTCGTTTCCGGATTTGTCATCTTCACGGTGCTCGGGTATATGGCAGAGATGAGGAACGAAGAGGTGTCTGAGGTGGCTAAAGATGCAGGTGGGAATGTGGGTTCCATTTACGTCCCTTACTCTTCACTGAACTGCTTGGCTGCTCTGTGGATCTTTACAAATATCTAACTTTTAAATTATTTCTAAGTGTTCCTTTAAAATTTTTCCAAAGTTTTAGGGAAACTTATTGCCTTCCATGTGCTCCACCCTGGTGGGGATGGGGTAGCTCCCCTGGCACCCAGTTCTGGGGACTTCAACACACATAGGCTTGAAATATGACTTAGACGAGGGCTTTTTAAACCAGTAGGTTTGGGTCCAGTGATGGGTACAAGTCTAGTAAGCAAATGATCCTTAGAATTTCCCCTTGGAGAAAAATAAAATGTAGATGACACAGTCACTCTATTTGTATTATGAGGCTTTCATGGAAAAGGAGTGACAGATATATTGAAAAAGTGGCAATGGGATCTCGTGGATGGAATCCCAACATGCTCGCCAACATGCTTCTGTCTCTGGCCTGATGCATAGCTCTGATCATGCCTGTACCCCAAACTAAGGCACCCCTATCTAGCTTGTGAGAGGTTGAGGACAAGTCCCTCACACTATCAAAAGGGACTTTAAAATAGCGGGAGGCCTTTATTCCAAAGCTTCTATGACTCTTCTGAAATCAGTTTCACGTCTCCGACTGTTTTGGAGCTAAAGTGATCAGAGAGAGCTAAATGTTGTGAAATGTTAGAGATATCAGTCCTGGCCCTGAAAAAAGCTCTGAGTTGTTATATGGTGGAAACTTATTCTTGTGTGCAGTTTTGCTAGTCTTAGGGTCTTGGGTTTGTTTCCATTCCCCACGTTAGTTGAGAGTTCACACTTTCCAAGATGGATACTATTCCCTGCCTGCCTCCCAGGATGTCAGCATGGGTTGGTGAGCTGGTGTGGAGTGTAAGGAAGTATTTGGTAGGTGTCCAAGCCTAATTCACATGTAAGGTCTTGTGACAAGAATTGTAATTGTTGGGGCGCCTGTGTGGCTCAGTCCGTTATGCGTCTGCCTCTTGATCTTGGGTCATGATCTCGCAGTTTGTGAGTTCAAGCCCCACATCGGGCTCTGCACTGGTGGTTCAGAGCCTTCTTGAGATTCTGTCTCTCCTTCTCTCTGCTCCTTCCCCTCTCTCTCTTGAAATAAACAAACATAAAAAATAAAAAAAGAATTGTAATTGCTGGTATGGCTGAGTTTTCCCCTGAGACATCTTTACAGAGCAGGTCCCAGGGACTACCTCCTCCTCTCTCCCTCTCTATCTCAGGCCCCAGCCTCCTCTTCATCACATATGCAGAAGCCATAGCCAACATGCCAGCGTCCACATTCTTTGCCATCATCTTCTTCCTGATGCTAATCACACTGGGCCTGGACAGCACCGTGAGTGGATGGAGAGGGAAACCTGGCTCTAAGGAGGAGGAAGAGGAACAGGAGGAGGGGAATGGGGAGTGGGAGGAAGGGGAGGGGGGAAGGGGAGCAGGAGGGAGGGGGTGCTGCACCTATCCCCCACCCCTCCCATCCTGGCCACCCCAGGCGGTCTTGGCTACTCCCTCCCGGTGCTTTCTTCGCCCCTGTTCAGTCCTCACTGCTGGTGCTCACGGCCCTCTAAGTGTGTTAGAGGGTCATAATGGGCTAATGAGGGTAAGGTGTCTGCACAGGCCAGGGCTCAGCATATGTGACCTGTTATTACTGGGTACCGTCCCTTGACCAGATGGCAGTATTTAAGGTGAGAGCAAGGTCACTCTTTTGTCTCAGTGCCCTGCTGCCCCACATTCGGCTCAGCACCTTGTACTTATTAGGGTGGAATGAGTCTCAGCTTTGAGTTGGCCTTTCTGGTGCAACCAGCGTCTCACCCAAGAGATGTCACATAAAGAAGTCCTGTCCAGGCCCTATATTTTCTTTCCTTGATGTCATTAGGGTTGGGTTCTAAATGAAATTGTGAAACAGGGTAATATATTTCCAGTGAGATCTGGTGTATGGTGGGGAACTGGTCATGACCAGCTTGACAGTCACTCCCTCCTGTTCACTGTCCTCGAAGGTGACAGACTTGTCCTCGAAGGTGACAGACTTGTCCTGAGCTTCCCCTGTGACTGCTTGTGTGTCCCTTTCAGTTTGCAGGCTTGGAGGGGGTGATCACAGCTGTGATAGACGAGTTTCCGCACATCTGGTCCGAGCGCCGAGAGTGGTTTGTGCTTGGTGTTGTCATTACCTGCTTCTTCGGATCCCTGGTCACCCTGACTTTTGTGAGTACCACAGCCCTCAGCTGTGAGCCAGCCTACCCTGGGGCAGTGGAACAGCACAAGAAGCTATTCCTTTCCTTCCACCCCACATGGTGCCCTGGCTTTGGGGCTAAAGTAAGAGGGGTTGTCACTGCTGTTAAAATGTCACCAAGGATAAGAAGAAAAGTTGTTTCTGGCAGCATCTGTTTGTAGAATCTGTGCATGGTATCTGGAGGTCTTAGCATTTTACATTAGACCCAATTTAGATTTCAGGCTTGGCAGGGTATCTGGAGAAAAACTAAGATTTGTTCTTCCAGTCTTTAGGGCTGCTTTCATGGGATTATTGCCGTGATGTCCTCATATGCAGAATATCTGAAGGCTGGCATCTCATGTTTGTCATGTCACCCTGTCTCCTCCAGGGAATTTGCAGTGGTGAGGAAGTCAGACCCTCTCTCCTATGATTTTTTTTTCTTTTCTGTAGCTGAAGCACATACTGTAAAATGTAATCAGGGCCCACAGGCATCCTAGGCTTGTGTCCTCCCGACATAAGGCAGATTTTGAAGATCTGAATCTTCAAGCTATGACCCCAGTGGCTCTGGTAGCTTTGTCAGGGTGGTGGGGCCCTGAGGAGGATCCAAAGGATTTGTGAGTTAAGTTAGAAGGCAAAGCCATGGCCACTGTGTTCAGTGGGTCTGGTATTACAAACTCTCCCAGGTTCAGTCTTCAGGGACCAAGATTCTTTTTTTTTTAGATTTTTTAAAAATTTATTTTACTTAGAGAGAGAGAGTGAGTCCATGGGAGGGGCAGAGAGAGAGAGGAAGAGAGGGAGAATTCCAAGTAGGCTCTGCACTGTCAGTGGCAGTGACCTCGGGCTCAAATTCATGAACCGTGAGATCATGACCTGAGCCAAAATCAAGAGTTGGTCACTTGCCACCCAGGCGCCCTGAGGGACGAGGATTCTTTAGGGTAGAGTACACAGTAGGTATTCAGTAAATTGAAGAAAGCTGAAAAAAAGATCCAGGGACTCTGTTGAGTTTGTCTCTTAAAACTTAGTGAGATAAAAAACAAGGAGAGAGTGCTCCATAGGACAGGAAGAGGCATCTGATGGAATGAAATCTGGCCCATACAGTGAGGGTCAGTCCAAGAGGCAGGCTCTGGGATATTTATATTAGGTCCAAGGTGGGAATTTTCTAGAATTATCCTAAGTTAAGAAGCTGCTTTTGGCTTTAATCATAAAGAGAAGGTAGTGCCTCAGAGGGCCCGCACTCAGGATCATGATGTCGTTTCCAGGGAGGGGCGTACGTGGTAAAGCTGCTGGAGGAATATGCCACAGGCCCTGCAGTGCTCACCGTTGTACTTATAGAAGCAGTTGCTGTCTATTGGTTTTACGGTAAGATGCTTCCTTCCATACTCATGATCTACACCAGCCTGCAGCCACCAGAGTAGAGAAGGGCTGATTTCATTGAAGAAAGTCAGGGCAGGGTACATCACCTCCCAGTGGGTCTGTAAAATAACCTCAGTGGAGTGCCTTCTTCAGAAACAGGTCACCATTTCCTCCACACTGATTCCCCTTACTCTTGGGAGGATGTTTTGTTTTTTTGTTTTTTTTCCTTCTGAGTTTAAATGTTCACCCAGTGGAGACAGGCTGAAGCAGTTCCATATAGCTCATCCATAGTGGAGGCTTCAAATACTGATTGTGTCTAAGAATTGAACAATGGACTAGTGCATAGTGAGTGCATTTGTAGAGTATACAATATCCCACTGTTTTATAGAGTAGCCCCAAGTTTAAATTTTGCAAGCAAGAGCTCCCTGCAAAGCCCTGAGATAGAGTTCAGGAGATTATTTTCCAGAGAAAAGGCAAGAATGTTCCTGTTTGTATTATCTGCCTTGGTGAAATCCCCACTTCACCCCTTCTGATCCTGGGATGGATTCTGATAAGGGTGAAACTAGCAGGAGCACAGAGAGTGGGCTAACATGGGTTCTAAGAATCCATGGGTGGGGGTGGGGATAACCTAGGAGTTGACATGAAGGAAACCAGGTTCAGAGATACCACTCTTCATCTTTATAAAATTAAGAAATGATTATTTTATTCTGAAAATGTATTGACTTTTCCCTCTAATTTCTATGGTAACAAAACAGCTTTGGCATGTTTGTTGTTACACATAATATGAAGAAGGGGAGGCCCCAAATTTCCAGCCCAGTTTTTAAATATGAGCCCAGTTTTTAAATTTTTTTTTTTCAACATTTATTTATTTTTGGGACAGAGAGAGACAGGGCATGAACAGGGGAGGGGCAGAGAGAGAGGGAGACACAGAATCGGAAACAGGCTCCAGGCTCTGAGCCATCAGCCCAGAGCCTGACGCGGGGCTCGAACTCACGGACTGTGAGATCGTGACCTGGCTGAAGTCGGACGCTTAACCGACTGCACCACCCAGGCGCCCCGAGC